ATATTATGCACCCCATTTCTGCTCATCTCCTTGGCCTCTTGTATGGTAGCATACTGTGGCCAAGCCTACTGTCTAAACAAAACAAGTCATAGGAAGCAAGCAAGCAAACAAACAAAGAAAAGCATAAAGGAACAAAACAACAAGAAACTAACCAAAATCACAACAACAGAAAATTCTTACCTTCAAAAGCTGGCTCCTGCATGTTGCCTTCAAGCAGTAGGAAGGTCCAACTATGGCTGTCACTGCTGTCCCCAAGCCATTGTCCAGGCAAGGTGGAAGAAAGGCAGATTGAGAAAATTCACCCCATCAACATCTGGGGGAATATCGGCACAAGATCCCAAGGTTGTGCACTAAAGAAATGTACTTGGCCAAGTGTTCAACGTGGTGTTCCTAGGCCAGTGGCCCAGTGGCAAAACTGCCCAGCCAGTATCCTGTCTTGCATAGGGTCATACAGATCCCCAATGTCCGTTTCTGGGCCCCAAGCAAGAATCCTTCCCAGGGCCTTCTTTGAAACCCCCAGACTGGTGGTTCAGGTCACTCACTTTGGAGGTAAAGACATTGATATAATCAAGAGTTCAAGGCCAGCCCAGGAAGAAACAAGTTCCGGTTCAGTTTGGCCCACAAGCTATCCTGTCTCAGAAGTAAACACAATAGTATCTTTGCATTTTATGTTATATCTAATTATTGATTCTATCTCTTTGCAGAGGGAGGCAGGAGAATTGCTGAAGGGATCATTCCAGTCTGAACTACAAAGTTCATTCCAGGTAACCCTAGCCTAGAACTGAGACCTACTTTATGGTAAATAATTATCATCTGAGTAATTTTTTGTTAAAATATTCATTTTTTATAATTCTTAATATTTTTAGTATTTTACATTATTTTCAACTAATTTATTTCAACTAATTTAATTATTTCAATTAATGGGGAAAAAAGGAAACACACTTAGGCAATCACTAAGTACTGAGAGTGGCTCTTGGGATAGGTCCACTTGTTGAATGGTGAAAAAGTTCCTCTGCATCAATGATGCAGACTTGGAGATGTGCAGACCCAGAGGTTGATATAAATCATAGGTGAGCACCTAAAAGTCTTCAGTGCCACTTCTAGAGTCCCTACCACTAGTGGTGAGCTCCTTCCCTGAACCAGCTTATCCCTTCAGCCAAGAGTATGGAGGGGTTGCCTCAGTCATAGCGTATAAGCTCACCCTCAGACTCCTACATAGCAAGGCCTACTGCAGTTCAAGGCTCAGCTTCTCTGTCCTGAGAGTGCCAGAGGCCTGCAAAATACTGCAGTGAATAGGAAGAAAACATTAGTTTGGCAGAATCTAATCAAACACACCTTTCCCACTGCAGCCCAAGAAAAGGGCAATGAGTTTGTTACCCTAACATCCACGGGGCAGACTGTGGCCTTGTCTTGACAGACAAGATATATCGGTATATCTTATCATTGATTATACCTCCCTTCTGCTTAAGAAAATTGAAATCTCAAACCCAGGGAATAAGGCAGGGGAGGAAGAGCAGGATTGCCCAAGGCCTGAGCCTGGTAATCACTAAACAACTCACAGCTGTCTCACTAGGGGGCCCCTGCACTCGCTAAGAATGTGTGGCAGTACCCCTATTAATCACCCCACCTGGTGAATAACCCTCTGGGTTTGACATCCCTGTGAGTCTGTATATAATTCAAACAAGTCCACCACACCCTCCACAGAGACCCAGGTACACCTCACACTCTTGTTCCTAAAAAAGCATGAACCTCATAGCTTTGCCGGTTCACTTTAGTCTGCTGAGTTAGCTGTGTGCTTCTGCCCTGGGCTGTGAAGACATTTGACTGCTTGATCTAACCTGTCTGGCATGGGGGGATCTGGGGTTCCACCATCTCACACTGTATAAGATGGAACTCTTTCTCAATAGTGGGATCACTTGGGAGTGATCAGGATAGAGGGTTGTTTGAGCACTAAAGGTTTAGAGAAGCCTGCTTAGAACATGCTGTGTGTGCAGATCCAGCAATGCGGGCCAGCAGCCTTGCCTGTACCCACAAAGCATGGCTTTACTTCTGGGCAATGCAATAGGTCTAAACTTGCAAATCTGAGTGATGGAACAAAGGGTATAGATGGGGGGGGGTGTCAAAGGGAGAAGATACATTTAACAGACATGCTCTTCTCTTACTCCTGCTCCCAACAGCGAAATGAACTAGCACAATGTCAAGCAGAATGTGAATGCCATGAAATTAGGCTGACCTAAGAAGTGAGTTATGGAAATTCAAACTCCGAAAGAGAGAGCTCTGTTCCCTTCTTAGCTGACTCATAAAGAGCCATCAGTGGTGTCACTGAGAGGGGTTCTTCCCTGTTAAGAGTCTCCAGTGAAGATCCTGTATAAATCTGTATTTGATAAACCACTGGCTTCATTAAGATAAAGATGGCTGCAACATTCCAGTGACATACAGGCCTCTCCAGCATTCAAGAACAGATACTGATGTACCAAGGGTTCTAGCTCATATTTGGCACCTGCAGCATCTTGATAGCATGGTGTCCCACCCCTCTAGGCTCCTCCTCTGTCAGCAACCTCAGAAACCTTCAAGTGGTAGCAGCACACACCTTTCTCTGTGTGGATGTGCATTCATGGTAGGGTAGGGTGACTAGGCTCAGATCTTTGACACCCACAATGTGGAAAAAGCTATAGGCTCTTCTCGGGATACAAGGGTCAGGAGTACAACCTTGTTGTCATTTGTATCTAAAAATGTCCCCCCAAAGCCCATGTTTTGAAGGCTGAATCATCAGCTCATGAAGACCCTAACTTCACCAATATAATTGGGAAATGTTTCACATATTTGAAAATTAAGCAAAAGACTTGTAAATAGCGCATGTAGAAATAGCAAAAATGAAATTACAGTGGATATCAGGAAAGATATTTCTGTTTAGATACCTGTTTTCTTTGTAGGCAGAACTTGCTTGGTAGCTCAAACTGGCTTTCAACTTGTGATTCCTCTGCTTAGTCTCCCAAGTGCTGGGATCATTGGTACATCTACCTCAGAACAGAGATAGACTGAATGATACTTAAAATCCGGTAAGTACAGAGGGAAATTGTCTTAAGCAAAGGAATAAATTCAGTCTTAAGAAGATTTTGCTTCCTGGATCAGTCTGAAGGGTATTACACTAAATGAAGTCTGATACAAAAGAAAAATACTGTCTGGTCTCACATATATATGGAATCTCAGAAGAAAAAAGAATCTGAATATATGTAAACAATAAAACAAGAGTGGGGTAAAATGGGTGAAACATGGTGTGTCAAGTAGCAGATATCTGTGATTCATATTTCTTGATATAATTGTGTTGCCTTGAAGATTTTTTATAAGAAAGTAAATTTGGGGTGCTTTTAATTTATAGCCAAATTTAATAGCCAAAGGCTATCCACGTCTGTGAAATAATGGATTTGTTAGTTTTCTGTGCTATAGCAAAATTCTCAGTTAAAAAAGAAAAAAAGAAAGTTCTAGTGCTGGAAGTGAAAAACTGAATTGAGGAGCTTAACAGTAGATCTGAGCCAATGAGAAAAGAATCTGTGTACTCAAAAGCAGGTCCACTGATATTATCCAGTCCAAATGACAGAAATAAGGAAGCAAAAGAAACAAACCTTCAGAGGTTCTTGGGCCACCATCAGCTGCAAACATATGAACAATGTAAATCACAGAAATAGAGAAAAGAGGGTAAAAATAACGAAGCCTGTCTGAAATTGGATGAAAAACCACATAAAGTCTTCAAATATCTAAGAATCCCAACAAAAATCAACTAAGATAAACTAATAGAAACACAGACCAGGACACGCCCTAGTCAAACCACCAAAATGCAAAAGCAGATATAACAACTAGCAAGAATCCTTCATCCAAAAGGGATCCCTCCTGGAACATGGTCCCAGAGGCTCTTCCTGAAACAACACAGATGGAATCCCAGCTAACAGTCACTTTTGGTGAAGTCCAAGAAGAAAAGTATCAGCATTTTTCTAACCTTCTGGGTGCTCTCTCATAACTAGGTCTCTCATGTAGGGCCCTATCTCAGCCTCCAACCTGTGACTTAGAACTAAGTACAAAGGAATCACTGTGAGGAGTGTTGAGCTGAGCCCAAGAGACGCATCATCACTGGGATTCTGATGTGACAATGACTGCCTGCCCTCTGAGGGCTACAGAACTTTCCCAGTTGGGAAACAGCTAAGCAGTAAGTAAGCTTAAAATAAGTCCTACCCTAGTATGGTTATGAAGACCAGACATGTTTTTATTGAATTTAAAAGTGTCTACATAGATACATATTGTCCATTTTCTATTGTTCTTGATATATATATATATTTTTTATTTCTTTTAAGAGTTTGTTTTACATTTGTTTGTGAGTTTAGGTCTGAGGGTGTCACCACTGTATTTGTGTGTGTGGAGGGGTAGGGGATCAGAGAACAACTTGTTTGCTTTCTCTTTTCCATTATGTGACTTCCAGGAATCAAATGCAGGTCTTCAGGCTTGGTAACCAGTACTTTCCACCCCTAAGCCATTTTGCCAGCCTCCCCAAAGATAGTATAGTGGTAACTTGAGAAAAACTGGGAGATGATTTTTCAGCTAATATTCTAATTCAGGAAGCCCATCTATTCAGCTACTGTTTCTTGAACATCTACTCTGTGGACGAAATTACACTAGGCTAGGCCCTGTGCCTAGGGATGGGACACAGGGTGCTACTAACTGGACAGGAGGGCAACCCTGAGCTTGAGTCTGTGCAGCAGTGTGGAGAGGGCATCTCCTTGCCTAAATCTGAAAGAATTGGGTCAGTTAGTTTAAGCTATCCAGGGGGAGGGACTAATGGAGAACTTAGCATATTCCAGGGATTCTACACAAAGAACTATATAATGACATAAACAAAATCAAAGTTCTAAATTCAGTTACATTCATCCAACATTGTTTTACTAGCTGCCAGGTTATAGAGACAGCAGGAAGACATAATGGTAGGGCACTGGCACATAGACACAGAGAAGAGAGAAACAAGAAGTGAAGCCCACCCCAGAAGGTGAAGGAAACCTTAGTGTGGACACAGCTGGTGCTTTGGTATAGAGGTAAAACTGCTCAGATTGTGTCTAGAGAACTAACTATATATAGAACAGAGTGGTGAGACAGAAGGAAGTAAAGAGCTAGGCAAGCACTAGTCAATTGGCTTAGATTTTCAGCTTATGAAGTCTTTGGCTGTTTGTAAGCAAGTGTGGTGCAACAGGAAATCCATGAGGGGCAGTGAAGGCTACACCGTATAAGCAGATAATCTGAACCAACAGATCAACACCAGAGACCAGGGAGGCAGGAAAAGACATCCTACCCAGGATTGGCCATGGGAAGATGGAACAGGAAGTATCTCCACAAGATGTGAAGGGTCAGAACTGATAGGGCTTGGTGGTTGAGAAGTTTGATTAGGAGGAGCTTAGAGGTGAGCATCAGGTTTCCGATTAGTGTTACTGGAGAGACGGGAGGTCACCAGCCATATACACCATTGCCATCATCTTTTTATGTACACACACACACACCACATGGAGTGAAGGAGGGAGAAGAGGAGATAGAAAGAGAGGGAGAGACAGAGAGGGGGAGGGAGATTCTTTACTCTTTGGTCCGATGCCAGAAGAGACAGAAAGTCACAGGGACAGTCTAACTGTCCTGTAAACATCGCATGCTGCTTCACAGCATGGGGCTCTGGTGAGGACCACTGAGGACAAACCCAGCTTCCAAGAAGCACACAGTGGGATTTCTGCACCCCATTGCACACACTAGCCACATACAGCTTTCCCTGAACTCTAGGTATTCATCTTCCTCACCCTGATGGCCTTACTGGTTATTTGAAGCATGGATTGTCCTGATACATGCTACCTCAGATATATGGCAGTGTTTGGAGTCTTTATCTTCTCCCTTCCCTCCTCTTTACTTTCCTCTTTTCCCTTCCTTTGTTATTCTCTCCTTCCCTATATTTCTCATTGTCTTCCCATTCCTTTCCATCTTTCTCTTTCCTCTCTTCTCTTTCCCTTTCCTCTCTTCTTTTCTTTTTTCTTCAACTGGTGTTAAATAGTTTACGAACACAATTTTATATGACACATATGGATCCACCTCCCAAACAAAGAAATGGGATGCTGCCAGCCCCTTAGACCCTTCTCAGGTACTCACTCATCAGCTCTTAGTTGCTCCCCAATTGTTCAGCCACCAACCACCTTAAATTATCACATCACCCTTGTGTACTTTGATTCCTAGTTTAGCACCACAGTCTTTGTTGGGCAAGATTGTGGAACACTGGACCTTGAAATCACCATGTCAACCAGTTCAGAGCCATGGCCACCCAGCATTCTTCTGTATTAAGTCATGTCTCTCACTAATAGGACTAAAAGGGCAGTGGTTAAATTTCCCCACATCAGACAGTGCCTCCCATACTCATGGACGTGTTCTCTCTGGTGTACTCACAGGGTTTGACCAACTGACCTGGACGTGGCCAACAGCCCTGACCTCCAACCCACCATTCTGGCTGATTGAAAGATGTTTCCCTTCAAGGTGAGCAAATGGATGGGGCTGGCTTGCCTCCGGTCTCTGGTGCTGTCCTCACCCAGTATTCGTCAGAAGAAACTAATACACAAGCTACAAGAGGAGAAGGCTTTTCGAGAAGAGATGAAAAATTTCCATGAGAAAATAGAAGACTTTAGGGAAGAGATATGGGATTTCCGGGGCAAGATCAGGGCCTTCCGGAGCCAGATCCTGGGTTTCCGGGAAGAAGAGAGACCTTTCTGGGAAGAAGAGAAGCTCTTCTGGAAAGAGGAGAAAACCTTCTGGGAAATGGAAAAATCCTTCCGGGAAGAGGAGAAGACTTTCTGGAAAAAATATAGAGCCTTCTGGAGAGAGGACAAGGCCTTCTGGAGAGAGGACAATGCTTTATGGGAGAGAGACCGGAACCTTCTTCAGGAGGACAAGGCCCTGTGGGAGGAGGAAAAGGCCTTGTGGGTAGAGGAAAGAGCCCTGCTTGCAGAAGAGAAGGCTCTGTGGGAGGATAAAAAGTCTCTCTGGGAGGAAGAGAATGCCCTCTGGGAGGAAGAGAAAGCCCTCTGGGTGGAAGGTGGTGGTTTCCAAATCCTTGGGGAGCAGAGGCCCCAAAATGGTCTGTACAATGCCAATGAACAGTCACAGTCAACAGCCTTCCCCCGTGGCCGGGCATAGTGAACCCTGGACATACAGGGCCACGGGGTCTAGCCATCACTGCTTGGGATCCAAGTCCAGAGTGACCCCATGTACTAAAGGAAATAGACACTGATTTGTCTCTTTGCCATGAAAGAGATAATAAAGTCCTGGGGAGAGGTTTGAAAAAAACATCTCTTCAAGGAAGGTTGGCTGCATCCTCCCTCCATGTTATCTGATTCTGTGATCCTTGTATCCTCCAGACTGTATTGCTGGCCATGGGGGCTGGCTCCAGACAGTTCCCTGTGTCTTCTGCTTGTGTGGGGGCTTGTAAGGGTGATCTCTCTACTTTGGCCAGTTTGGGAAGCCTGACTTAGGTTGACAGACTTCTGGAAATCTGCCAAACTCCTTGCCACTCCTCAGGGACCCCGCTGCCCACCAACCTTATGCCAGTATTTCTTTTAAATTCATCAGTCTGTACCCTCCACATTCACTCAGTTGTTTGCTGCCCCTCAGAGCACTGCGCTCTGCCACTCTCACCTGGAATGCATCTTTAGCTCACACCCCCAGCAAGTTCCTACTCTCTGGGTTAGCTTCTCCAGGCCATTAGCCCCTCTAAGATGCCTTTCTACAAGTCTCCACTCACCCTCCCAAATAGATGGTGAGATGGCCCAGGAGCTACAGGGGTCTTATCTGTCTTGCCTCTGTATCCTCACACCCAGATAGGTTTCGCTGTACCTGCCTTCGTGTTGTCAGCTCTGTAGCCCTTGCGTGCTGACTTGTGTAAACTTTCCCATTACTCTGGGGTGACAAGGAAGGTACATCCATTATTGAGGGAATAGAGACCCAGAGACGTGAAGTGACTGCATGTGTCCAGAAACAGAACACATCTCCTCTGCCCAGAGCTCCAGATCCTTCTCTAACACAACCCAGCTCCTGGCAATTGTCTTTAGATACCACCTACCTTAAGAGGTAGAGTCTAGTGAGGTAGTTAGTTCGCTGGGACTGTGTCTTGAAGGGGGAGGGCTTCAGCACAGGCCTTAGACTAATAGACCAATCATCCATGAAGCAAAACCTCTAACACTGTAGACCCAGACTTCCCACTCTGTAGGGTAATTACCTTGGATATGAATGAATTAAAAAACTGGCTGACACGTGCTGAGAACAAGATGATGGTTTAGACACTCAGATTTCAAGAGTGATCACTAAGGTTCATACCCAACAAGACCTGTGGCATGACAGGAAACTCCAGAGCAGCAAAAGGTAAAAACCAAGCAGGCCCCAGATTCTACCAAAGTAAAAAACCAGAGTTGTGAACCCCAAATGGAAGGGATGGGGTGGGAAGTGTAGGGCAGAAAAGCACTTGATTGGTATGTGTGAGTGTGTGAGGTCATGATTCTGATTCCTGGAGCAGGAATTACAAGTATACAATGAGTAGAAATGACCCTTTTCTGTGTCTCATCAGAGACCACTGGAAGAGGCAGCTGTCCTTTGACAAGTGCCAGGAGAAGCTACCAGAGACGAGTGATGGGTCTCTTTGATTCTTTCTCCCTTTTACCCAGCACACAGCTGTGACCTTTCACTGTCCCAGTTTCTGCTCTTCCACCAGATCTATATATGGAAATGGGCAGGTCAAGAGGCAAGAGTATCTCCAGACAATAAAGGCTGGAAGAGACAAGTCTGTTTTGGAGTGATCCCTTGCTCTCCTCTTATGCTATTTGGGAGGGTGAGTGGAGACTTGTAGAAAGGCTTCCTAGAGGGGCTAATGGCCTGGAGAAGCTAACCCAGAGAGTAGGAACTTGCTGGGGGTGTGAGCTAAAGATGCATTCCAGGTGAGAGTGGCAGAGTGCAGTGCTCTGAGGGGCAGCAGGTGATGGATTCAATGTGCATACAGGCAAATTTAAAAGAAATGCAGACATAAGGTCAGTGGGCAACAGCGGCCCAATGAGGAGTGGCAAGTAATCATATATTTATATTTAAAGTTAAGGTGTTATTTGGTACCAGAAATCAAATCCAAGGCTCCCTGTATACTAGAAGAATTCATCAACAGTGTCACACCTCCATTTCTGCTAGAATTCATGTGTGACACACAGAGAACAGCATTGGCCTCACCTGAGCTTCTTAGAAATATAAAAATCATAGGCCTAACCCAATCTATTGACTTAGGGTCCTGCTTAATAAGGCCCCTGTGTTATCCGTGTGGCTTTAAAGATGGCAGCATATTTCTGTAATATGAGGGAGCATAGTAGGGGCAGTGAAGAATAGGTGAGGGTGATCATCTGCCTCCAGCTCACCTCCTTAGAGAGGACTATCCACCCCCCTGGGATGCTCATTCCAAGGTTACACGCCCTCCTCTACAGCAGACCTCTATAATTGGTAGATTCCAGATGCCCTAATCTCTGAAAAAACAAAACAAAAAAACAAAAACAAAAAACAAAAACACAGGCCCTGACCTCTTTCATTGAGTCTATTCTCCAAACCCATGGATCCACTTGGGATGATCACCAATAATTGCTTTTGACTGTATACCCCTGAGGGATGAAGTGTACTGCCATGTTTTTGGCCACAGCTGCCTTTGGGAAGTAGAAAACTGGAGATTTTCCCTTCCACCCACTCCAGACAGGACCCTAGTTCGTCCACCACCAGGCGTTCCTTGAAAGCTTAATGGGAAGCTTTCAAAACACATTCTCTTTGACCTCTAGAATGGGCAGGCTCTAAATTTGGCTTTTGTTACCCAATCTTCTCTAGACATCAAGAAAAAGCTCCAAGAGCTCAAGGTTTCCTGCTGGGGGATGTAGTAGACGGATAAAAGAGGTAGTAGTTTTCCTGATAAAAAGAAACCTGCCTCATGAGATTTCTGTGGAATGCTGAATTTAGGTTTGTGTTTGCCCAATAACAATCCTGTTTACAGAGTCCTTCTGTTTAGGAAATTATCACCAGCACTCACTTTTGAGGCCCACTTTGGACTTACTGGTAATGGGAGTGCAAACCAGTGAAACCACTACACAAATCGGTGTGGAGGTTCCTCAAAAAGTTAGAGATAGATCTGTCACTGTGATCTAGCTATAAAACTCTTGGGAATATACCCAAAGAACCCTGTATCCTACACTAGAGACACTTCTGCATTCATCACCACTCTATTGTACAATAGTCTGGAGTGGAAACTTCCATCAACTAAGGAACAGACCATGAAAATGTGGTATATTCACACAATGGAATATGATTCGGCTCTTAAAAAAAAAAAAAATAAAAGTAGGAAGTGAGCAGGTCAACAGTAGAGCAGCTGGAAATTATTGTCCTGAGTGACATCCCATGTTTCTCATGTATGGACAGTAGCATTCAATCTTTGGACATGGGTGTTCCATTCTGAATACCCATAGAGGGCATGAACTTAGTAGGAGTAATGGGGGTGTTACTTAAAGGAAGGGGAAATAGAATGCAGTGAGATGAAGGGTTAAAGGGAAATAATGGAACAGGAGGGGTTGAATTGGGGTGTGCAAGGGGGGAGGGCAAGGTAGAAGTGGGAATAAGGGATAAAGAACAAAAACTTGAAAGTAGGAAAGGTGGGAATGAAAAGGCATGCAGGCAAAGAAGGGAGTTGTAGGGAACACACACAAAGAAAGACAGAGGCTGAGCAGGACCTAATCCAGGAGTTCCAGTGCCATGCAATGCCATCCAAAAAGAAAAGAAGTGTAAATATTATGGTGGGGAAAAAACCACACAGAAATAACTGGGAACTGTGTCCTGAACAAGTGTCACAGGTAATCAGGTTTTTCGGTATGTGTGTAGTGTCCCCACAGACCAGAAGACTGCATCTGATTCCTTGGAGCTGGAGCTCACAAATGGTTGTGAACCATCACATGGGTGATGGGATCCTAACCCAGTTCTCTGAAAGAGCAGCAAGTGTTCTTAATGTGTCTGAACCCTAGAGCCTGTTTTTGTTGTAGGGTTGGAGAGATGGTTTAGCCATTAAAGGCTAGACTCACAACCAAAAATGTAAGAGATTACAATATAATTACAACATGTCTCCCCTCCCTTTCTTCTCTCCAACATAACCACCCCCCCCACACACACACACACACTTTGCACTCTTTCAAACTCATGGTCTCATTTCATTAATGGTTGTTACACTTAATATAAATAATCTAAATATAACTGGCTCATTCTGTATGGTGTTACTTTTATGTGTGTTTTTGAGGCTCACCGTTTGGTGTTGGATAACCAATTGGTCACTTACCTGGAGAAGACTCTCTCTCCCGCTCTCAGCATTCCTTAGTTGGTTCTTTGAGGCCTCGTGGGCCTTTCCTTGTCAACTTTAGTATGCCCTATTGTTCTCATTTAGCTCAAGTTTGGGTATTCACATTGGTAGGACTCTATGGATACAGTTTGAGATTACTAGGAGACAGTCTCAGAAATTCCCTGATCCTCTGGATCTTGCAATCCTTCTACCCAATCAACTGCAATGATCCCTGAGCCTTAAGTAATGGAGTTCCTATGCAAATGTATTTACTGGGACTGGGATCCACAACTCTTCAGTTTTATTGGTTCTAGCTTTCTGTAAAGGTCTCTGTTGCAGAGAGACGTGTGGGCCTATGGACAAATATTAAGATTGTAGTTAGGGAATATGCTGGTTTAGTGAAGTGGTTATAGGTTCCCCTCCAAAATCCATGACCTCATTAGTCCTGAGTAATTAGCTAGGTTTCCCACATAAAGCATATTATTGAGTCTTGAGTCCAATAAAATAAGAGATGGTTACCACCAAGGTACACTTGGCATTACAGTATCCATAAGGTTATACCATGCTGATGGTTGTGGTGGTTTATAGGCATCATACCTGGGTAGGACTATTGGTTGTTTCCTCCTTTGGAAGCTTGCATGGTGCCTTCTGACACCATGAAAGCCAGTCCTGACCAATAGGGACTTACCTTCTAACTCTGTGGCAGGCAACAAAGGTAAATAGCCTACTATTCTTATTTGGGGGGGGGGGGTAATCTCTTGGAACAGCCCTGAACAGCTCAAAAGAGGGCTTCTCATACTGGTGATGGAGTTTTATTAGGTGGTCTCTGGCTCTTGGAGGGAACATTGTTAGTACTGAAGAGAAAAGCTCATTAAAATTATATATATATATTTATACACTGAATTACATGCATGTGCTTTTTAAAAGATGAATAGCTAATAGTATGATTCCTTATAACTTTTCCATTCTCTTATTTATCTCCCTACCCC